GAAAGAAAGAAAGAAAGAAAGAAAGAAAGAAAGAAAGAAAGAAAGAAAGAAAGAAAGAAAGAAATAAATAAAGGTTCTATGGTGCAATAAGGAAAGATGACAAAATGTTTCCATACAGAGAAAACACAAAAAGTTACATGTACACCAAAAAAACACAATACTTTTTGTTTTTTGTCTCATTACTACAGTACATGCGTAGATCTCACAAAATAAAAGTCACCATCAGATTATTGCTCTAGTGACAAAGCTTTACTGTTATCATACAGAACTAATAAGAACAAACAGACTCATAAAAATGTTCACATCAAACGGCTTGTTCCTTTTTAACTGAGTGGGAACTTCCTTCTCCTGTCACTGAGCCATAATTAAAATTTGCTCAAACACAAAAATACATGCAAGGAAATGCAAAACAGAAATGAGCCAAATTATTTAAACTTTGTTTTCTTTAAAACAGAGTTATAAGTGTTGATGAAGACTGTTTCCTGTCCAGAACATTTATTTCTTTATTTTTTATATGGAAGGATACAAGTCAGGATCTAAGTTGTTTTGTYGCTTTGTGACAGCAGATCTCAACTAAACTTTATTTCAAACAAAAAACAAATATTTAGCAACGTTAGCATAAATGAAAAAGTAATCATGAAAGACTTAATGTTTAATATAGTGGTCTTACATATCACAACTTTAACAGCTTGAATCTTTGAAAAAATATACTTGCCACACTTTTTTTGCAGCATTCCTTTTATTTTTATATTTTTTCATTTTGTTAATAGTTGAAACGCTGTATTATTCAAAACATCTTACAAAGGGGTTTTCAACAGTAGCAAAAATGAATTTGGTCAGGGTATTTGATTGCCTGGTTTGTAAAAGAAATACATGAATCAATATGAATATGTGAATCAGAGATAAAATGAGTAAGAATCAGTTTTAAAAAGTTAAAACCTTATCTTCAGAAGAGCATTTATCTTCTACATTTACTGTAAAAAATAAATGTTGTGGTCTTCAAAATAGAAACACTRATTTAGTAAAACTGGAAAGTTTGTTCTATGTAATCAGATGTTAAAAGACGTCCAAAAAGTTTCCTTAAATTCAGCTGCCGAGTTGGTGGAAAATAGCTCTCAATGAGGAAGTTTCAAGATTTAAAATATCTTTGGCCATTCTTCATTTTCATCAMAAATATCCTGTGAATGACGTCAAGAAACCAGGAGCAAAAAGGTTTCCCAACCTTTACAGTCTTGAAAACCCTGTGATTCAATCAGAGATGGCCACCAGGTGGAGGTGAAGACTTATAAAAGTAGAGGATCCAGCTCATTATTTAATTGTCCTCTGATGACCGGCTGGTTGTAAYAAACCCGGAAGCATTCACAGATCTACAGTCTTACTAATATCAGAACAAACTGAGAAAGAAACTATCAGGCCATCATATGAAACTTTTTTTTATATAAATAAACAATATTTTTGACTTTTATGACAAAATAGTTTTTTTCTGCCACAGTCAAAAAAGTAAGCACTGCTGTAAAGAAATAATAAATCRCACGTATAATCTCTCTTGTTCTCAACAATCATAATGATAAATCAACATTGGTTATGGTTTCACCCTCTGCAGCCTCGGMAGCAGGACCAGAGACAGGTGAGGGGAGCAGCAGCTCTGGTCAGCAGCACGTTGTAGGCCTGTCGAAACTGTCGGTTCATGACGGCGTAGAGCACAGGGTTGATGCAGCTGTTGAGCCAGGTGAGGTTTGCACAGAACATGTACAGAACCTGTGGGGCGCGGTTGTGTTTGTCGGCTATGTTCAGAATCAGGAAGGGGACAAAGCAGAACACGAAACACAGAAAAACGGTGAAGCACATGCGTGTCACACGCTTGAATTCACCATCATCTCCTGAAGTTGCAGACTGCGAGGCCGGGGCAGCTGGGGCAGGTTTTTGGATGGCCGCGTTGTCACTTGATGATTTTTTGGCTGTGGCTGAGCCCTGAGTGGGGTTGCATGACTTGCCAGGATTAACAGCATCTGTGTTTTGGTCCAATTCCAGCTGGCTGCTCAGTTCAGAGCTTTCTGTCTTTGCCGCACCACTCTCCACTCCGCTGTCATCAGTCGTCTGATCTGAAGGGGCAGGCTTCTTCTTGGACGAGCGTCTGCTGAGCCTGTAACGGAGCAGAGCTTTCGATGCATTTCGAACCTTCTTGTAAATGAGCAGGTAAAATGCTCCAACGCACCCCAAACCGATAAAGAAGTAGAAGAACAGCAGGATGGTGGTGTAGGGGCGACCCCTGGTTCGATGGAARCTGCATGTGCACACATTAGGCACAAACACGTAGACGGACCAGAGGGGGGCAAAGCTGGCCAGGCCTAGTCCCCAGGCTGAGATCAGGAGCAAAGTCAGTCCATGGTTGGAAAAGACGCGGTCAAAAACAGGCCTCTTTGCAACCAGGAGGAATCTGCTCACTGCCACCAGACAGAGGGTGATGATGGAGACGGAGTTGGAGAGKAAGAGGAGCAGGCCGAAGATGCTGCACCACAGCTGGCCGCTGCRCCACCTGAGGTGGAGGTAGGAGTCCACAGAGATGGGCTGCAGGACGGTGCAGTACAGGAGGTCAGCTATGGCCAGGTTGACGATGAGCACGTTGAAGCGAGTCCGCAGACGTGGGTCCAGGACGAAGGCCAGGACCGTCATCAGGTTCCCCACGGTACCGGTGATGGTCACGGCACATCCCCACACCACGGCAAAGTACCGGTAACCCACCACTGAAGGACTGTAGCAGGAGAAGAGGTCCTCCTCTGTGTGGTTTGTGTCATTCAGCAGCATTTTATTAGGTTCCTGTCGCTTCAGAAGCTTTGGCAGAGACACTGACCACGGAAACTATAAAAACAACTTCAAAGTTAGACACTTGTTCTTTGAATTCTAACTTCAAATTCAGACTTATTGAAATTTTATCAGCACCAAACCGACACAAGTAAGAGTTGGAGCAAACATTTTTACACCAAGCTGCAGTCAACAGATAAACTGGAACACTGAAGTCTGAAACTAAAATAAAATTTTATCTTAAAGAAATATTTAAATACCTCAGCATTTAGAAAAAAATGTTAAACAGGTATTTTAAATAAAAATCAACATTAACCCTTTTTAAAACAGAATTATAACAGTGACTTGTTCCGATTCTCACCTTATCGTTGCCAACGTCCACTGTTCTTGTGTTATTGGTATTTTTTTCTGATTGTCTCACTTCCTCTCTGCGTGTTATTTGTTTGTGAAGCTGACCAACTTATTTTTAATTTGCTCTACTGCACTGACACACAAAAACTCAGTCMAATTGTAATAATTACTTGTTAAAGCACAAAAATGTGGATTTGCTTTATTGTTTTTTAAATTTATTAACTAGATATACCAGTGTTAAACCTTCTGCATTACAAAAATAATCATTCATCAATTAATTTAGAAAAAAAAACACAATTATCCACTCCTTACAATCATAAATTCASTTTAATAGTTTTCTGTTTTTTTCTGTTTAAATAACAATTAGGAAGCCCCGACATGAACTCCCCCCCCCAAAAGAATTTACATTTACACTTAAGTTTGAATACATTTGTCTTAACTAACATTTATTACGTTTGTTGACATTTTTTTATTGCAGTTGAAAAAAAACAAGAACAGAAGTGCTGACGGTATTGCTACAGATTTTTCACTTTCTAAAGCTTTCTAGTGGTTCACAAAGATCAGAGCAGAAAAACAAAATGATGTGTTTTGGTTATTGTTTTTTTTTTTTTATTTGCATACACCTACTCATCTACGGTCCTTTTTCTTGTCCTGCGGTAGCATAATGCTGGTGTCTTTCAACCTTGGGTATCGATTTCTCCTGGTCAGATTTTGCTGAAAGGTGGTCTCCTCAGCGTGCACGGATCACCTGCAACTAAAGTCATGAATGATAAAACTGTCATGCTGTGCTCACAGTGTTGAAGTTATTTCACAAAGACACTGAAAGCTCTCAGCTGTGCTGTACGGGTGAGAAAACGATGACAGGTTTTTCATATTTTTGAGTTTCTGAGGACAGTGACATGCAGACCTCTCATCACAGCAATTAACCTGCTTGCTTTATGAACACTGTTGCTGTTAGTGATGGGAATTCGTGAAAATTTCACAATGCCAATAAAGACCAAATTTTCTTTTAACGTGTTTTTCCTTTTGATTTTTTCCCAACATTGTAAATGAATCACAAAAACAAATACTGACATCTGCACAGTGCACATTTCTCAAGCTCTTCTGTATGTCAGTTCAGCTTTAAATCTAAGTATCATTTCTCAGCTTTTGCTGTTCCTCTTTGACTTCCTGTTTGCATCCTGCAGAGGTAAATATAGTTTTGAAAATGTAGAAGTACAGTACACCATGATGTTTGCAAGAAACTTCAGAACTGATATGCAAATTCTGAGAAACCTACSTATTTCTCTTAGTACCACAAAAGGCAGAAGTTTACAGTGGTGCAGTCCGCTGTACAGCTAACACCACAGGCAACTACAACAACTAACTGCGGGTTTGACGATATCGACGCTTCAAACCTGTGATAAATATTTGCRGAGATGAACAGTTTAAACAAACGTGAGAGGTAGGGTTTTAGGTCCGAAGTGGAAAATCACATGATGGATGAAGCCTTTAGGTTGCAAACTGTTRGAAAACGATTGGTGGAAATTTGTGTTTACGTTCCTCTTCAAACTGTTTGTACAAACATGCTGATTACTCAATGATAATTGAACAAATAGTTCAGATTTTTATTAAAGTGGKGATCTGTAGAAAGATTATGAGCAATTAATATCTTACCTGTTGCACATAACTCACTGACTAACTTCAGTTTGAAGAAATGTAGTTTATGTCTAACTGGACTGAGCTAATAAGTGGTTAAGTGTGGTCAAAATAAAAAATAATTGGTTTCCTCTACAAAAAACAATCCTATTTTTAAAACATGTCATAGTGGTTCATGCAAATTTTATTTGATTAAATATTAATTTCATCCTACATTTTTTTTACATCAAATTCAATCATTATTTGCCATTAATTGTAGCTGCATTTCAATGCAGCCTGGAGCACCTTCTAGATGAATATCATYATTTTTTGCCAAAATAATCATGCAATGTGAAACAGTTAGGTTTATAAATAAAATTAGCTTGTAGCACTATAACTTTTTTTTTAGATTGGATTAGATTGTTTTAAAACGGAGCAGTCTACTTTGCTCTTGGTCTAAATGACCAGCCAATTCCTCATTAATCCAGTYCGAATTAACCTCCAAACTGAAGTTGTTCAAATATTAATGACTCAGATATTAATTGTTAAAAAGTTTTCCACAGAACCCCACTTCAAAAGATCTGAGCTATCACTKTAAAAGATGAAGGAAAACCGGAGAGGATGGAAATATACTGTAGTTCTCTACACGATAACAAGTAACACTTTTCATCTTCTATAAATTAAAGTTTGTCTCTTGATGGCACGTTTGCCTCCAGTTCACAGTGTGCTTCTTCCTGATTCGTCCTCAYGTCCTCCACCGTCAGTAAGGAGCGAAGAGGACTGGCCCGTGTGTGGTGCGGATGGGGCCCGGGGCCGGCCTCAGCAAGCCCAGGGGTGTTCCCTGCAGGAGGTGGGGATGGGGGTGATGAGGGTGGGAGGTCAGCCCAGGGGGACGTAGAGCCAGCTGATTAGAAGATGCTGCTGCTGCCATCGCCGCAGCAACAGCCAGAGGACTTGGTAAAAGTCCAGCCCCTAGAGTTTTTGGAAGTTCCTTCGACAGAATAAAGACATGTCAGACTGTGACTAAGGATGCCGTCAAAATGAATCTTTAACAGCCAGCTTTAAGGAAAAGTGATAAAATATGTAGAATGTGGGAGAAACAAAGTGAATATKTACCATGAAGTCTGTGCGCTTCTTGTGCCGGCTGAGAAGAGGATTGGGTTTACCCGCAACTCCATCTCGATGCCTTCTGCTTGATATATGCTGCAGTGRGAAAGTAAAAAAGAGAAAAGAAGAAATCTTAGTTGTTCAGTAAAACAACTCCCTCCAGGGCTTCACTGCGTGTCGTTCTCACCTGTTTCAGCTGCAGCTCCGAGTTGACTCTGACGTTGCAGATCTCACAGTGGAAGGTGCGTTCCTGAGTGTTCGGGTCAGAGGACACCTCACCTCCCTGCTCAGCGCTTGGTTTGGGACCCAAGCGTGGGTACGCTTTAATAGGCCCAAGTCCACTTCGAGCTTCCAGGATAGTTTTGTGTTTGGTTCCTGTGAACAAAAAAAAAATGCATTAAATACTGTAGAACATGATTGTTCACATGGAATAATCAAATGTGCTTGAATAAAATATTCAGAAGACAGCACACAACTTATACTGTATAAGAAGAAGTACAKCTCACAATAATGATTCTGATCATCTGTATTCCCATCTATTACTGCTAYTCAAACAAAATCAAATAAGAAATRGGACTCTGAAAGTCTCTCAAACTTTGCTCCTGGTTCTTTCAAGCCTGTGTGGGTGAAAAGTCCTTCAAAAAAAAGGATGTTAATTTGCAGTTCTATTATATCTGGACAAACCTCTTGAATGTCAAGTGAGAGGATAAAAACCTCCAAAGCCCCAGATGTGAAATATATCAAGCTCAAATGTAAGAGTTTTTTTTTTTTTTGTAACTGCGTGATTGGGTGACATTAGCTTTAATGTAGGAAGTGAGATTTTGCAGTTTAACTCCACTGAACAGCAGCAATGAATGCTTAAGTTTTCTAATCTAAAAATTCATAGGAATYCTCCAAAACATCCACTTTATGGCTTATTTGATTGCTTTTGAAAGCTTGTAATAAAGTGTATTTAATGCAAGCCAGCTCTGAAAAAGCTGGACTAACCTTTGTTATGTGCCTCCAGCTGTGAGAGGGAATTAACTGCTACTTTGCAGAGAGAGCAGTAGAGGAGTTTCTTTGCTTTCTCCTCCTCTGAYTCTCCTGAAGAGGGACTGGGGGCTGGAGACGGCATGTCCGGGTCTGCAGAGGGGTTGCTGAGGGCTGCAGAAGGGGACGGAGAGGACGGCAAAGGCGTGCTGACAGACGACAAAAGGGGACACTCTGTGTCTGCTGGGTTCTGCGCCGAGAGACTGCTGGGGGTCAAAGGTGACTCTTTGAAGCTGGGAGGGGACTGAGTGTCATCTGGAAACAGCACAAAGCTTTCTGCTCAATAAATTCACACATTTGGCACAGTTACTTGGTAAATAYTTTGTCGCCATTAATCTAAATTTCTACAGGATTTCAAAAGACAAATCGACACTAAACTCCTCTCTCGTTAATTCAGACCGTCCCATCGCTTCAGCTGTGTCAGTTTGTCACATATTCTTCACTCGTTCATGTGATAATGTCTCAATTCAAAGTGATGCTCACCCTGCTTGTTATAAGTAGGATCAGGGCTGGATGGCAGGAGACCTGGTGGGGAGGGTGAAGCAGGAGGGGGCTGTTTGTCTCCATCTTGGAGACGAGACGTCTTGGATGTCTCGATACCTTTCACCCTTCGAGCGTGGCGGTTCCCTTTATAGTGTGCCTCCGCCTGACTCTGGAAAATAAAAATAAGAAAACATTTCACRATTTGATTGGACTTTGTTCTCTTTYGGACCCGATATTGGTTTCCTGTAGCTATTCTGTTTCTCATTACTCTTCACTCCTTAGTTTTAACTCTTTTTCTTTGTTCACAGTATTCATCCATCTATTCTCTTCTGCGGTAGGTTGTAGAGATAACAGTCACCCCTCTTCATTAAAACACTCTCCAGCTCAACATGGAATCCCAAGTCATTCAAAGGCCAGAAAAGCTAAATAATCCCTTAAGTGGGATCTGGATATTCTCTTGGTTTTCCTCCAAAAGAAGCTGACCAGGAGGCCTCATGCTTGAACMGCTTCAGCAGACTCCTTGTGGTGCGAAATGTAGTAAAATTTATATGAGCTTACAAATTTAAACAATTCAAAAACCTTTGATGAGTTTTTAATAACATGTTAACACAGTTTCAGGCATCAAGCAGCTCATCAAGATTAACAAACAACAATCAATGAGAATAGAGATTAGCTTCRCACACACGGGGCAATCCCTTGACCCAGGGTTACCGTACATGCTTTTTATGCATTTTATGATTGTAGTCTTCATAAGGTAACTACAGCTGCTCAAAACAGACACAAAACATGCTATCACATAACTCTCGGCAGTCACAACACAACCATTTTAGTCATATTGAACTGAGGCATGRTGGAGCAGTTGTTAGAGCTGTTGTCTTGCAGCAAGAAGGTTGCAGGATTRCCTCCTGATCCTTCTGGTTGTAGTTTACTCTGGGTGCTCCAGTTTCCTCCCACGGACCAAAACCATGCAAATYAAGTTAATTGGTAACTCCAAGTAGCCCCTATCTGTGCGAGTGTGAATAGTTGTGTGTCTCCATGAACTTGTGACATTTCCAAGATATGGCCCACCTCTCACACAGTGATTGCTGATGAGAGGCGCTTGGCCAGGAAATGAGAAGCGAGGGAAGAAAATGGATCCAAAGCAGCATGCCTCTTCAGCCTTGRGAACTGTTGTGTCAGAGTTGTAAGTGTTCATTTTTAGTTTCCATTACAAGAAACAGTGGCTCTTCTCTGTGACGGAGATGGACYTCCTCACCCAGTCTTTAAGGTTAAGCCTGACCACCTTATGTAGGAAGATCATTTCAGCCACTTATACCCAAGATCTAATTTTTTGACCATGATCCATATCTCATGTCTGCAGGTGAGGGCTGGAGTTTATTTCCCCCTCAGCAGCAAAACTAAAAAATAGGAACTCTTCTTCTTTTTACCAACAGCTGCTTGATAAGATATTTGCAAATCAATTTTCCAGCTTTACACAAATTYTACAATCTGCTGAGAAGCAACTGGAGCGAACAGGGAGAAGATGACGATGCACGATCCAAAAATTGCAAAACACCATAACAAATGTACAGAGGGTGGTACAAAACAAGAAYTAAATATACCCCAGAAAGTCAACAAATCAGGAAAAAGGAGCAATCTAAACTGTTTTGATCACTRAACAGCATGAAAGATAAGACGTATTATTGTTATGTGATTGCTTGTTGAATGCAGGTGAGGCAGATCAATGAGAAGCAAAAAAGTAGTGAAAGAAATCCAAACAAAAAAAAGGATCTCATCACAAGTTTCAAACTGAAGCTGAAGTTATTTTAATATTGATTAAAGCAAATGGATTAAAAGAGGAATTACTCACAAACTCTTAAAGTAAATTGTTCCATTCCATTGCAGTTCCCTAACCTTAACTCCACAGTGTTCCTGTTCTAAAGTAACTTTCAGCAAACTCAGCTCATGTCCTGGTTCTGTTTTCTCTTTGTGGGTCCTGCAGCTGACGTCACTAAACAGGCTGAAAGCTCACTGCTGATGAGGCTGTCAGAGAGGATTAGCTTCTGAATTTTCTTGTCTTTCTTCACCACTGCTTTAATCACAGAACTGCTCTGCTGAGTTGATGATGAACACTGAGTGGTTGGATTACCTAAAAACGAGCCTGACAGTGACAGATGACGGCCTGCTACTGAAACAACTGAAATGTTTTCATAAAGTGGACACTGAGGAGGATACAGGAAAACACTGAAACACAAAGAATTAAATAAGATCTTAATATGTTGGTTTGGAG